AGGATGATCTGGGGCATTATTTGACCAAGCGGTGGAATATATTGATGGCGCTGCGCAAGGAAATTGGGTCGGGGCCGAGCAGAAGGCAGAAGACGCTGGCCAAGAACGTTGAATGTGGAGGGGGTTAAGCTCTTGTACAAGTTCGGTCAGTGCGTATCTGGTTGTGACGCGCTGCGGCCAGGAGGCGACGATTATATGCGCTCTCCTCAGCATTGTAGAACTCCCCCAACGTCAAGAAGTTAGCGAAGGCCAGGACTTGAACTGGTGCGAAACTCAGGCGAGGGAGGTTTTTTGACGCGGGGTTGTAGCACGCCTTGCGATGCTGTACGTCTAACGTGGCCAAATGACCAAGGAAGTGCGCCAAGATATCGCCGAACTCCTCTCGAATATCCTCGAAGTCCTCGGTACCAGCGAGACAGGCAAGCATAGTGAAAATATGCAGAGCGTCCTGGTAGTCACCCAGGATTGTGGCCAAGCACTAGGAATCAAAATGTTAGCAACCACCCAGCAAGAGGAGGGAGAGAAGTAGGTACCGGAATGCAGCCGTCTGCGTGCTTGCTGCATTGCACGCAACGCGTGCTGCCATCAAGCGCGAAATGGCATCGAAGAATAGGTGCTTGGTCGGCTGGGGTGCGGCCTTCCCTCCGGTCTTTGAGCGCAGTTCATATTGAACGTGGATGTTGAAGACTAGCTGCAGAGGAGAGGCAGAGATGGGGACGGTCGTGACCACGATTGCGGGGGTGTGGATATATGGAATTGTGGGGGCGGGATGTGGTGCGCGCGCACCTGGATATCCAGTTGTGAGCGACGCACATCTATAGCTGTTGCGGTGATGTAATAATGGACGTGCGGTGGGCAGTAGGACGCGCGTGCCATCTGCAGTATGCCCTCTACACCTGCAGCACAGTTCTCTCTCTCACCACCCGCTAAGCGCACTTCATTAAAGGGACCTTGAGTGAGCTCCCTCACCGTCCACTCCCTAGCAGTATCTGTTCTTTTTATTCTAGACGCTCACCTCGGATCTCATTCGACCCTCATCTCAGATCTCTCATTCCACCTTTATCTCAGATCTCATTTGATCCTCAGATCTCACTTGATCCTCAGATCTCATTCAGCCCTCCTCTTATATTTGCCTCTACCTTCATCTCAGATCTCAGTCAACCCTCCTTTATCATCACCACCATCTTCTCACCATGGCTACCTTCTGAGGCACCCACTTAAAATTACAGTAACCAGTAACTAGAATTGGTGAGTAACCCAGTCCAGTCGACATGGTGGGTAACGTGGACGATGCGCCAACATGGCCAAGCCGATTTGAATCCAAAGAAGCCTACTTTGACGTATTGCTCCGGGTTTAGATGGGCACATATTGTCGACTGTGACCAGCCCTTGGAGGCACTTCTGGACGCATTAGGGGGCTGGTCTTTCTTGTTGCTTCATCCTCCTCCACCCTGCAGCAGCCGTACCAGAATTGGCTGACTGCGTTGAAGTTCCTGACCTCCCTGGCCTTCTTTCTGTTCCTTCTCGACGCGTCCGCCGTTCTGTCGGGCTCGGCGTGTCTAGCAAATTCCACTAACGCTTTCTAACGAATTATGAAGATGGTTTACACTCAGCACCTGACACCGGCCCTGGTGTCAAAGTCGCCACCAGTCCTTGGTGGAAAACTGCTGCTTAAGCTGCTCGGCTTGAGCAGATTGTGGTTGTGTACGGTTGTAATGGGTGGACGTAAAGATTTGTAAGAAATGCCAAAATTGACTGACTTGTGGGGTATCTAAAATACGAAACATGACGCCTGATGTGATGCATCACTGAAAATGACTTTCCGATCGAAACCCAGTAGTATGACCTCTACAATAGACTCACTCCAAAAGTGCAAGGCGCCGCCGGTCCAGGCGTGCAATGCCACGACCTGTTTTCCTCCCTCGATAGACTGTCCGCATTTGCTGGGCTTCCTTCGCTTGAGCGTACCCTCCCCACCGAAAGGTCATACAATCTATCCGAGGCCTTGACTGGTGCCACATGACTCCAAGTGACGCGCGTGGACACACTCTTATTCTTCTCCGGTTCCCTTCCCTCCACTGACTCGCCCAATGTGAGCTGTGGAGTTTGCGGAGGAAGCGCGGCCGCGACGTTCTGGGTCCTCTTGAACTGTTTCTCCGGCACGAACGAACCCACCTTGTCGTCAACACGATCAGGCTTAGTATTACCTCTTAGTCGCCTGGGACCGAGACTTCGGTCTCGCGGATTCTCCAAAGTTGATCAAGTTTTGCTCGTTCAATCCCAAAATCGACTCCAAGGCGTTGACGGCAAGTTCTGGGTACGTCTGCACCTCCTCCCGCAAGGAGAAAGAGCCTCGACGGCTTAGCAGCAGTGCCCGCGCCTATATCTTCGTCCTCATCCGTGTGGCTTTCGTAGTCGTCAGGGTTGTTGTGGCCACCCGAGACCTCCCATAATTTCTGCTAAATGTCGTAGAATTTGATCATGTAGCTGAGCATACGGACTCTCGGAAGCGTGTTTGGTTGGCGCAAGGCGTAGAACTGTTTCGCGTGTGTTACGTAAGCCCACAAGGGCTACATAAAGCAGCGATACTCCATACGTAGATAGCGAGAGAACCAGTCAACTACATACACACCACACTATACTATAACAGCGTGCTTCAGGAACTGGGTCGGGTCAGGCGACGCAAGGCCCTCATCACGAAGCGAGACGATAGGCTCGATGCACAGGGTAGGATTTCGCAGGTTTAAGGCCAAAACTACTACCACGGCCGCTGAACAGACCGGTCGGTTATGTTGTCACCAGCGTGGCATCCAACGCGCTGCTTGTAGTTTGTCTGTAAGCGATGTCGCACAACGTCGGAGGGAGGACTCAGCCATTCCTACAAGGTTTACAGTGGCACGGTAATTCAATTAGAAGTGTGGTCAGTGAGTTGTCAGTCATCAATGCCAACCGGTCGTCGATATTTTTGGATGATGCGGATTACGTCATTGAGGTCTAAACCACTGACATGGTGCCAAGCTACTGTCGCTGTACCGATCGATAGACGGCACGTCTGGTTGATCACACCGAGAGCCTAATGATCTTTGTGCCTGATGGGTAGCAGAATTATGGGGCTTGTTTTGACACTTCGAGGGCCTGTTGCAAGGCGGGCGGTGGAGCAGTACTCGGGACGACCCATCTCCTCGAGCTTCCCTGAGTTCACCAATAAGACATCTGTACCCTGAGCTTCACAGATGCTGCGCAATGCTAAGTTTAGCCATGTCCTTGACAGTCGAAGGCGGTTATGTCTGAGGCTCAGGGGAGGATGTAGAACTTGAAACAATGGGCGATTGGGAGCCGTCGTCAGATAGGTTGTAGTCTTTAGTCCCCTGAACACTGGCTTGACGTGGATTCTCGACGTCTAACGGCAGAGTCTGTGTCTGTGGTAGGAGGCGGTGGGTGGCTGCTTCGACGTCTTGGAGGGCGATGCCTGCTAGGCGAGGTTGGGGGTTTCTGTGGATGAGCGAGGCAAAGCGCTCAGCGGCACAATCGTGGACAAAACTTGGATCATAATGGCAGCTATTACAAGCGTCTGCCAGGGCAGCGAGTGTAGTGAAGAACTTTTGTTCTTGACAAAGTTGGTTGTAGTTGATAAGAAAGAGGATATAATTGCAATGGGCTTCCTACTACCTACCTAGCGACCTTGTTGATCTTCCCTAGCGACTGTCCCTTCACTGAGAACTGGAGGGAAGGCAGGTTGGGGGCCAAGAGGCGAATGACTTGAGGGGGGGACAAGGTGGCGCAGCTGGAAGGGTTTGATGTGGTGGGCAAAATCGCGTTCGATTCCGAGCAACTGGGTGTAAATTAAAGACCGGATATCGGTTGATCTCTAAACATGGGCGGCGAAGTCCTCAAGCCGTTTCTGGAGGCTGGTGGAATGATTGTTAGATAACGTCAAGGACGAAGGTTCAACTGCGTTGAGAGGAGCTTGGATAAGTCGTAGGGGGTTGAACGAGACAGGCCATGAATGAGAATGCCTTTAACGTCTGTACAACCAAAGAGAAGAAAGGGAAAAGCCAGACATGAAGGAGTAGTGTTTGCTTCTTCTCTGGAACGCCGCAGTAAGTAGTAGAAGTTTGAAAAGAGAGATAGATGGCTTCGGCCAAAGTCTGACGACGGACAAAAGAGAGAAGTAGGAAGCCTGCGTGGCCAAGGTACCTACCTAGTGATGGTTGTCTAGATGTAGTGGCGGTTTGGATGTAGGGTGGGGTAGTTAATCCTGTTGCGAGTCAGTGAGGCCCTGTTGGTTTTAGCGCTAAAGCCAACTGGGGCTTACTGAAAAGTCACCCAACCTAGACACCGAACAGGCTACTGAACGCACTGCTTCCGAGCCACTGGCTCGCCGCGGCTCTCGTCGACTCGTTCGGGCGTCTAGAAACTTTGCTATTACATGGAAAAAACACACATTTTTTGCTCCAACTCTTTGGGACCCATTGGTTGCCACCCATCCAACGCGACTATTTTCTCTCGTCTCCTCTGTGTCGACCAAAGGAGCCTGGAGCTGGACACACTATCCTGACCAATCACATTGTGTACAGTCCACAAGATGGATCTGACTACCTAGCAGATCGTCGGGTCGGGTCGGGCCGGGCCTTTTGTCGCGTTGCCCACCAGAAAATACGGATCTGAATGAATTGGACCAAAACAAAAGGTCAATTTGATTGTTGCTAATGATGATGCAGAAGGGAAAAACACCCCCTCAGTGCTGACTGTCAGGTCCTGATTTTATGACCCATTGGTACGTACCCGTACCTTCCACCACCCCCCCTAGCGCCGCACACCCACCACATCTCACCATCTCTCGCTAGCCCGCAACTGCTCCCTCCCCCTCACTTCTCCTTCCTCCTCTCAGGTCATGCCGGCTGACGAATCAGTCTTGGTACCCGCCGACCGGCACCCGCGGCATCATTTCACCGCCCTTCGCTTCTCGACTCGCGTCCCCCACCTTGTATCAGAGCACCATGCGGGTGATGATGACGACGATGGTGCTAATGACGATGAAGGTACAGGCCACATCCTCACGCAACCTCAGCCCATCGAGATATGTTTCTATCGAGACTTTATCGCCGACCCTGACGACCTCGCGTCGATACATCTCGTAGGCCATCTTCGCCGCATCTTACACGGCCGCTGTGACGGCTCTCGACGACAGCCTCTACAACATCCGCTTCAATAAAACCTCCGTATCACTTGTCCTACATCGCACAATGGCCCTTCTAGAACGCCAGCGTCTATCACTCCACTACATGGTGGTTGACGCACTCGAAGCTCCCGATGCAACCTTCCTCCGAGACCTCAGAAAAGTCGTCGACCGCATATGCCTCAACGCCACCTATCTCTTGTCGTGGGCAGGGAAACCCCCGAAAAGACCCGTGGCGACTGCCAGTCATGACCTGGCCAACCTAGATCTCGACATGTCACTTGCGTGCCAGCTGCTGGGCTGCCGCATCTCCGATGTGGCCCTTTTGTGGTCACCCCTCGGCGATACTGAGTCTGACTGGCGCCCCAATCGCCTGCGCTTGACTGCCAAGCTGCTGAGCACGGCATACGACGCCTCTTCGTTTCTCTACGCCTACCGAAAAGCTCTCTCCAGCGGCGAAACCTCTTAGACAGATGCTGCGTGTCATTTATGCTCGTTGGCACCCACCTCGTCGTCTGCTGATGGCTTTCATGATCATGGAAAGAATCTTGGGCACTTTGCTTGCGACGCGTCGTTCGCTGCGCTCTCGGGCCTTCTGCACCAGCCGCCGCCGTCAACTGCTTCTTCCCTTGTCAACTTCCTCATATCCTGGGGCCAGGGGCAGTCGGCAAACTGTTACGCCACGCTCCATAAAGGGAGTGAGACAGCGCGATCGCTCCTCCATGCCGGCCACGTGGCGGCGCCGTCGATGACAGTCCAGGGTGAGCTCATCTCTCTGTTGCGCCAGGTCGTCGAACTCTTCGCAGGGATCTTGGACCTGACCAGGGTTGTATCCCAGGCAATGTTCAAGTTGCCGCGGCTGCAGCAGGTGGAGAATCGTTGAGTAGCGGCGACAGGGAACAGCCGTGGTCCTAGGACACATTTCCATGGCTGCTGCAGTCCGGTTAGGTGCCATTACGCTCTGCTGCCGTAACGAGACATGTTCTGGATACCCACGCTGAGATCTAGAACATCTAAAAGGATACGAAAGAGCTTGTCTGTCTACGGGATGCAATTATTAGGCCGATGTTGCCTATGCTGGCTTCTGCTGTAGCCAATGCAATATGAATCTGCACCATGGCCTCGGACTTCAACGACCTGCTTGAAGCGCTTGGCAGCGGCCCCGGATGAAATACATCAACGTTGCACCTTATTGGCGGCTCACAGATTGAACCATCATTTATTAAGGTGGCGTGTACTTGTTACGGATATTGACGGCGAGGTTGCCGCGCTCAAAGCTGAAGCGGCAGAGCTTGAGTCCGTCAAGCAGCAGCAGAGACGGCCGCCAAACAATGACTTTGACGTGGGTAACCCGGGTGGGAACGACAGGGAGCGTCCAAGAGGGCGTTCCAGAGAGGCTCTGGAGCCGCAGGACGACGAGGAGAGGCAGTTTCTCGAGCCGCTGCGGCAGGGCTCACAGGCACTGAGTCAAGCAGCCATCAACCCGCTGATAAGCGCGTTCGGTCAGAGACCCTCCTCACCACCACAGCGGCGGCGGCCTCATTCAGGACCGTGCAGAAAATAATCCGCGTGTGTACACATGATAGAACGATCCTTGGAGGGTTCTCTCCTCTCCATCCACCCTTCTCCAGCCGGACCCCCTCGTTTTCCTCCATTACACACACACACACACACACACACACACGAGAGAAATTGAAGACTCTACAGGTCGACTCAGCGATCAGCCACCGCGTATCAAGCAAGATCCCGCCTGCTACCCCCTTGTGTCGGCCGCCGCGCGCTAGCGGACTGACAAAGTGGAAGTGGATGAGGGGGCGCAGGTGGGACCGCGATTGGATGGCGGTGGCGAGCGAGGACGACGCGAGACTTAAGAGGTGTGCGTGTGGGGGAGTGGTAAAATGAGGGGGCTCCTTGTGGTAAGGCTTGGTGGGATGTTTGTTTGTTTGTTTGGTTCGCGGGAGAGGAGAGGTTTTGCTTTAGTAGTGGTGTGGTGTGGTGCGGTGAAGTCTGCAGAGGGTAGGCCAAGATGGCCCGAGTTTGAAGTAATAGAGGCTTTTCCAGGTTGCTTCCGTCATAGATCTCAGAGGCTCAGCTTTGGAAAAGAAAAAGATTTGTTTGTTTGTTTGTTTCTGGAGGTTATTGAAGGTTGTGAAGTAGACACACACAGACGCACGCAAGAGAGGAAATGGGAGAGAGAGAGATTTCACTCTCAGCGACGGAACATGGTGGTTATATCTTTCTTCTTTCGTGCGTCACCTCATCTTCTGCTGCTCTCTCCCAACATTCACAGCCTTCTTGTCTGACTTGCGCCCACCGCCCACCGCCCACCGCCCGCCGCCAGCAAGTTTCACTGGGTCCTCAACCGCAGCCCAGACGTACGTCTTGTGAATGGCAGTCAAACAGGATGAAGCCAGATCACAGCTAGTGTTCTTTCATTTCTGTCTCAAGATTTGACTGCTCGGTTGGTGGTGGTGATGCGGCCATGGCCCATCTGGCTCTTACAGCTCAGTGTCGCCCGGCTTTTTCTCCACTGGTTTGTCGGAGGAACGAACAGGTGGATCGGACGGGCGATTGCAACGACGGCAACCAACTTTCTGTCTATGGCCAATCTCATCACACACAGGTGGTTGGTGAGGGGGGGCATGTGAAGAATTTCTTTTGCAATTTGTCGCTTACGAGACTGGTTCGTTCGCCTGACGGGCTTGCAGGGAGGCTGGCTGTATCCAAGACAGAAATGGAGACGGGAGACTGAGACGGAGAATCAGGGACAGAAACAGAGACAGAGACTTATGGGCACATGGGCACAGACTGGACACTCCAGAGTCCGGTTCTAGTCGGTCATATTCCAAGACAAATCATCACCCATGTTCCGACGAGCAACATATGTGGAGAGGTTTCTTTCTTTCATTCCTCATTTACGGCAATAGAGAGTACCTACGTCACCCCTGACGAAACCGGTGGGAAAAGAAGTGGAAACAGCGAGAAAAGGGAAAAGGGAAAAGGAGGGCTTGCAGCGGCTCCTCCCGATAGGCTGAGCGTGGATTGCTGCGCATCAATGTCAGCGACAAAACTAGGATATATACATTTCCTCACGAGACAGCATGTAAAATAGCCTAGGATAACCCATTTGCCAACCATTTCGCGCAAGGACACAATGAGGAAACAAAACGTTTATTCCTTCACATCCATGGCTTGAATCCCAAGGTACTCTACATCATACATCTACATCCCAGCCCCCCTCTACCACATCAGGCGATTCCCTTGCGGCGTTGTTCTTGTTGTTGTTGTTGCCCCTCGATCCCTGCCCGCGACGACGTGTGGACCTTTTGGCGCCGCTGTGAGCGTGAGTGTTGGAAAGTCTCCACCTCTCCTCCTCGCCGCCGGCACCACCTTCGCTGGCGTAGACCTCGTCCGCTGCGGCGGTGGCCACGTTACGCCTGGGCGTCTGAGGATACCCCGGCAGGGCTGGGGCTTTCGCGGGCTCGGCCGTCTCGAGAACCGCTCCTTGTCCGTGTCTCCAACGCCCTTCTCATTCAGACGGTTCATGCCGACCAACACATGCATCATCTCGACCTTCGGGTCCTCCAGCCCCACCAGGTGGGTGGCAGCTTCCTTTGCAGCTGCCTTGTATTGTTTTTATGTCTCTTGGTACACGCTGAAGATGGCGTCATAATCGGCGCGGCGCTTCTTCTCAATAGCTTCTCGACCGGCCGATCGACTCGAGGGGGCGACGTCGGCATAGCCTGGGGCTGGCATGACGAAGACGACGGCGCAGGCGGAGTGCGTGGCGCCAGAGCGGCGGGAGTAGGCAACCGTGACTTACGGCCCAGGTCAGGCATCTAGGGGGGAACTGGAAAGGGAGGCAAGCCAGCAGATGAATTCCACAAGACGGGGACGGACATAAAGGCTAGTAGGTATGTGTAGGGCCCCCACTTGGTCGGAGAGCAGAGTTGCGTGCCACGACAGGATCGGCATGTGTTGGGCCGCTACGACGTTGGAGGACGACTTTACGTGCCTCCTCGGCTGCAGCTTTAGCCTCATCTTCCACCCCCTTGCTGAACCGCTGTTGCAAGAGTTGGGTTTCTGATTCAAGATGTTCCCAGAAGGGAGCTTGACGCTAGGCGGCCTTGCGCTGGATGAGGGCTGGGCTGATCTGACTCTCACGCGATGGGATCGTATCTCAGTCGGTGAGGTCTGAAGATGGCGGCAGGAGACGACTGGTGATGGTGGTACTGCGCTTTGTGTTGGATAAGGGGTCTGTCGACATAAAAGAGGTGTAAATTCCGTCGTTGGCGCGGTGGTCAAGAGAGGCGGCAGCAGTGCTAGCGATAGAGCTCGGTCTGCCATTGAATCGCAGGCAAAACTTGTGGAAAGCGCCTCGAAGAGAATCCGGCACTTCGGCGCCAGCCTCCCTCTTCAAGACGTCATCAAAGCAGGCGTCAAGGTCGTTAATGCCGGGGTTTCCCATGGCTCCAAGCTCTAGGGATATGAAGAAGGGTTGGAAAGAAGAGGACACTGACTAGAGGCAAACGGAAGAACATTTCGAAGGAGAAGAAAGACAGCGAAGGACGTAGCACCGAGAGAAAAGGAAGAGGAAAGGAAGAGGAGGAGGAATGGAAGAAGGCGGGGGAGGAGCCAGGAAGTTTGTGTAGTCGCGGGAAAGATCAGGTTCGGGTCCACTGGAGATCTACACCTTCCATGGACTGGGAAGTACGTACAGGTACGTACCACTAGTGTACTGGCGTGGAGCAGACAGTGGCTCTAATCAAAGTCAATGGCGTTGGGCGGCAGGGACCTTACACGTGGGTGGTCCTGGTCTACCGGTAGGAGGTACACGGTACCTGATGCCTGTCATGGCTGCTCCGGCATGCGCGGCCGCCCCCCGACCTCCCAGCGTCGCGCTCAGCACATCTGACGCCATCGAGACCGACACCCGGCTGTTCCAGGAGCAGAAGACGGCGTACGCGTACCACGCCCGGCAGGCCGCCCAACAGCAGCACCAGATATCGCTGACAGTGGACAAGCTGCTCAAACACAACGTCAGGCTGGCGAAGCTCAAGAGCCACAAAGACGAGGACACTCGAGCCACCGGCATCGAGGTTGACGTCCCATGTCACTATTTAGCTCCCGCATGCTCCTCAGCTATCGAATTAAACGATCTTTATAATATCGAAAATTCAAAGTCAGGCGCGTTGGCTGCAGATAGCATAGACTTGGCATCTGGGCCTGGAGCGCGCATGATGGTCATGACGGGACCAAAGCATTCCTCGTTGGCAATATCCATGTCTGGAGTAACATCAACGAGAAGTGTTGGCGTGAAGTAGTGGCCCTTGGGATGCTCGGGATGGATATGGCGCTTGCCATCGGCGAGGCCCAAGCAGCTAGCCACGCCGACTCGCAACGTCATCGAAAGGTACCCCATATCTCCCGTTGGCCCCGGATTATAGCCTCCTCTCCTCAGTTCAGCGTTGCTTTGCGCCAGATTTTCTATGAGGTGGCAGACGGGACTTGGCATCGACCGTCTCGTATGCGACACCACCTCCCCGCGAATCCATTTTGCCAGACGTCTCTTCAGCCCGTCGCCGGCTCACCTCACCCCCGAAGTACTCTACCCAGAGCAAAGATTTATCCTCGCGCAAAGCAAAACCAGCGTCCTGGTTATTGGTCAATCCAGCAAGCGATTCAATAACCTGGAGGCAAAGGGCGACAATTGCTACTTCGATAGCCTGGTGATGAGCCGCGAGCATGCCAAGATCGCGATCGACTGGTACCACGTGCTTCACGTTGAACTGGACCAGCACTACCAACAGGTAAGTCACAAATCTAGCATGAAGATAGAGAATGGGTGGAACTCACCATCATGTGCTTGAGGTCTTGGACCCGTCGAACTTGACGACGACATCTTGGTGCTAGCTTCTCGAACGTATCGCTGCCAGCTGACGATAGAAAAGAGTAGAAATAGAGGGGCTCTTAGGCTTGTCGTGCTGAAGCGGTGCGCCTTGTTTTCCAGGGTTCCCTTTCTCTTCTGGTCATCGATGAGGTATTCGGCTGTGGATTACGGTTTGATGCGGAGGAGGCCAAGGGCGTCCACGCGGGGGAGGCTGTAAGGGGAATGAATGGCTGGGCACTAGAGCAAGTAGCGGCGTTATGGCTGTTGATATTTTCTGAGTAGGCGGCGACGACGTTGTTCTAGGCCTCGATAATCCGGTTGCGTGACTTGGCAGCAGCAGTAATGAGCTCGCTGGCAGCGCGGTCAAGCTGAGGCTTAATACTGTTTTCTCCTGATGAATTCGAAGATGCGGTGGGAGGTGATGGGGGATAACGAAGAATTGTCCGCCGGCTGCGCCCTAGACGCCGTCGGTGCCGCCAAACGAATCAAGAGAAGCAAGTGAGCGTTGAGACGTTGTGGGGGGATAGTCTGACCACGTCCGCCGAGCAGTTGCCTATTGAACCTTGACAGCTAATGTTCCTGGGCCCATGGTGCTCGTCCGGCTCCGTTTGCATCGACACATGCGTACCACCTAGACAAGCTGTCCCAAGAGCCAAAGCAAAGAGACCAAGTCAAACATAATCCAGTTAGTTCTAGAAAAGACTAGTTAGAGCAGTCGCCCTAACAAGATGTACGTTTGAATTGCTCAAGACGTCACATACGCGGCCAATGCAGGCAAACAGAAAAAATAGTCCTAAGACCGTATCATTGAGTTGCGCCCAAGGACATTAGTCTGTAACCAAGCCATCAAGGAACAGGCCAACGCTTCCATTAACAGCAAGGGGGAGTAATACTTTGTCTTAGCAGCAATGTAGATACAATGGGTTCACAGTAGCAGATTAACAGGGACATGGCCTCCTCAGACCATTAGAAGCGTTTAGACAATCAGGCCTTGGATACTCAAGGCGGCAAAAAAGCTGCGCAACGCCCTGATGGAGCTGGAGCAGGCGGTAGAAGAGCCTTGTCGTCCTTAAAAATGATTAAGCAGATAGTTTTCTATGCCTCTCCTGGAAGAATTAAGCTTATGACCTGTCTGGCTGAGTAGACAGCAAATGTCGCTTGCGTAGGCACTTTTCAAATCTAGCTTAATAGTCTCCAGGGAATTTCAATGCTGATATTCCCGTGGGCGTTACTCCAGAGCCTTGTTTGCATTCAGAACGCCGAGCTAGCTATCGTTGTCACTGTCCCTTTAAGCCGTTAATGGTGATTGATCACCTCAGCTATTGTTAACTTCTTATTCAGCCCTGCCAGCCCAGAACACCCTGGCGTCTTGGTTCTCGCATGACAAGTTACAGGCCACACTATGCTATAGGAGCCTTCTCAGCGGGATCGAGACTCATCTTTGGAACCGGCTCAGGTCCACCCAGATAGATGCATGCAATTTGGACCTGGCCTTGGTAATTGATGTTGTAAAAGGCGGGAGGGGCGGCGGTAGCTTTTTCGAGTGATGAAATCGCGTGGGAGCCGACGACAAAATCTGAAGCGTTGCTGCTGCTGCTGCCGCTGCTGTTGCTGCTGCTGCTGCTTCCTTCCCATATGGCGATGATGACGTCGATGGCGACGACGGCGACTGACGGAAGAAGAAGGAGGGGATGATTCGCCCCTGTAGGAGAAGCAGCAACGACGGTATAGATGGCAGGTGAGGTGGGTGAGGTAGGAACTAACGTATTTTGGGTAGAAAGGCCAGTCGCCCGCCCACCTTGGCACGGAAGTTTGCTCACCTTTGGCCAACGCCCAACATCCAATGTCTTCTCCGTGTTCCATTCATACTCACAACATCCATACTTGCGACGTTCGCTTCGCTTCTGCAACCAATCATTCACCATTACAACAACCATTATTATCCTCACAGCAATCCATCCCTCCACAAACTCTGCGATTGTGCTACCTCAAGCACAAAGTCCGTCGTAAATGTCTGGGTCAACGGCAAGAGGCCTGCCAAGGCCTCGTCAACACTGACGGACGTTGGCGACGGCCAAGAGCTACGGCCATGGCCATGGGGGAGTGTCTTTCTTTCAGCATCGCTAGCCAACGCGTCAAACGTAAGCATCTCGTTTTAACTACACCCCTCAAGTTACACAAAGCAGCAGCAGCCTGACTGACATATCTTTTATTCATCTCTAGCCACACGCCCAAGGTGCGCTGGCTGCTGTCGCTAGACGCCAGGACACTCCCACCTGGCCCTGACTCACCCAAAGTCAATTCTCAAGCAGCCTTCCAAGACTAATGCAGCTGTGCTTGGCACGCCTACTCAACAGCCGGCAAGCCTTGAGTTGTCTCCCCTCCAAGGCCAATCTAGACGACACAGACTCTAGCGGCTCCAAGAACGCTCCATTTTCTTCTTGGTCCAACGTAGGAGTGAGACTCAAGCAACCTGTCACAAGGCTGTTGGCACGCAGGATTGGCATTGTGTCTGCGGTTAGTTGTTACAAGTCGAACCCTGATAGCAACAATACATGGCATGGATGGCTGTACTATCCTCTGATCCCCGTACTTGACTCGCGTGTGAATGTCCAAGACACGCGTTGGTTCTCACACAATCCTCACGACACGCACACGTTCCCAGCCAGTTGCGGCACCGACACGGCGAGCAAAGTCCACTATTCCCATTTTCCACCACACAACGGCTCGGTAATTACATAGCAGTTTTCTGAGGATGAGGGTTCTGCCACGGTCACGCCACCTTCACGCCACATGTGTCGCAAAATCACCAGTAGGTGGACAAAGAAGAAGCAAAACCGTTTTGCTTAATAAACTATATGTGACAATATTCCACGCAGGTCATTTTGGCCGGAATCAGAACAATAGACGTCCCATTACGGTTGGATTCTGCTGACAATGCTGGCGTGAACGGACCGTGACAGTCACGCAATCCAACTCGATGCCTCATCGGTGGCTTCCAACTCATGCTTCCAAGGAGCAATGTGTGATGATAGCTCCCGGAAAACGCAAGCGACGACCAAGAAAGTCAAATAGGCGATCAAACTTGCAGTACCTAACCTAGCGCGCAGCTGATCTATGTCTATGGCTTCTTAAAGGGAGCTAGCTTTATAATGGATTGGGGATAAACTGTGAGGGCCTGATGCTACGCTCTGGTAACAACCACTGGTGTCCTTCGGTGTCCTACCATGCTAATGGCCGTCGAGGCCCACAAGGATGGGAGCGGCCATGATTACCATAAGTAGTAAATGCTTCGTGGCTTCCCTACACCCTCGGCCGCAATCAAGCCAGCAAACTTGCCTGTGTGGGTCTGTCTTGTTTGGTAACCCCTGGCTGTGCATGCATGCATGCATGCATCGTCTTGTTGGCCACATGGTTGGCTTGTTGACTAGGCCCTATTGGTGTGCTTCATACCTTATCCTATGCTTCCATTTTGGGTGTGTTTGCTTGTTTGCTTGCTTGCCTGCGCCTGTTTGATGACGCTCCCAATGAGGGTGCCACTTTCCGTGAAAAGAATCATGATCAAGGGGGGAGAGAAAAAGTTCCGTATCCCTCTCACTCCCCTTCTTCTTTCTCTTTTTTCTCCTTTCCCCCCCTTCTTCCATCTGTCATACCATTCACAGCATCTTACGGAACATCATGTCGCACTCGGGTCAAGATTCGCCAACAGGTCTGTCGGCAGCGAACCCCGGGGCCGGACGGCTATTGTTACCCCTGCCGCTTCATGTTCCGGCAACACTCGAACCACCCGTCAATAGCCCGGGCCCGGGCTCAATGTGCCCAAGGTTCCTTCAGCCCAGGGTTTCGACTTCACACCCATCTACCCCCCCAAGCTACCCATTAACCAAAATCCAATTGCAGGCTAACTGCACCTTGGAGCATAGTCAGCAGCGTCAGCCAGAACATGAAGCCTTAAGCCCAATCAATCCGAATGACTCGAGTCATGCACTACACACTCAGTCGCCTAGGATACTTGCCCCACGCCGCCTTAATCCAAATTATTATCAGCAGGCAACCTCAACAGTCAACATTAAGAACAATGCCATCCCTCACTTTTTGCATGGAAAAGCGGACGCGAAGGCAAAGGTGGATATGTAGGTGTCCACTAGGCTAGAGATTCCTTCCTCAGCTAACCTGCATAACACAGACACGAAGCTCGACGCGATTAGGTCAACACTATCGATTGTGGTGTCATGGTTCTACTAGACTCCAGCTAGGCTTTCTGGAAAGGGAGCTCTCTCGTCCGCTCGACCTGCCATCATCTTGTCCGTCAGTCACACGCTCTGTTCCTCGACAAACCGCTTTTCGCCGAACTCTCGGTTACCCACTCTGGCAATCGCAAGTCACCTTTACCACTGCCGGACAAACGATCGGCCCAACGAACGAACATGGGTGCTGCGGGAATTGGTATATGATTCTAGGAATGCGTCGTGTCACGCTTCGCTGCGCTGTGCTTTTGCTGCAGTCAGTGCTGCAGGTCTTGGCGATGTTGGTAATAGTGATGTTGATCCGTTGGTGAGGGCCATATCGTCTGTCTGGCTGGGTCCCCGACGCCACACAGCCTCGACCCCACGTGGCCAAGATGGGACAGTACATCTGCTCATCTAATACTAATCAGGGCCTCTTGCACATGTGCGCCCCCCTAAACCTTGCACGCGCAAAACCCAAAGGGAAAGAAGCTTTGCCCTCCCGTGTGGACCGACGGTATGGTGCCACGATGCCCATCCCATCGCCCCTTGAATATCTGCGATGTGGACCTTGGCACAACGGATGACGGTGTCCAAGACAAGGGATGTGGGCACAAGCACGCAAACAATCCATAGGCTATTGAATGCTAGCATCTATACTAATAACCCAACTCTGTGGCGAATAAAGCCTTCAATTATCAAGTGCCTCCACGCCTACAGGGATGCTTTCCTTGCGATTCCTTGTCGCCAAGGAGGGACCCTCGCTTGATGGCATTGTCGACTTGAAAGCCCAGAGTACTGGGACATGACGCTGATGATAAGCCCTGGCATGACGACTGAGTCTGCAGCGGAGGTCCTAGCCATTTGAAGGGTTTTGAAGACGTCTATAGACTGGCGGATGATATTTAGCACAACATAATATTGATTTCCTCTCCACTGACGACATTTAACGCGAATACGGTGCGCATTCAGACAGTCAGCTATGACGACCAACAATGCTGTAACACGTCATCTGATGAGTTACTTCCATAGTTGTGGGTTTCTTTCCCGTGTAGATGGTCCGCCTGATCCATCACTCTACAAAATTCACCCAAGGTTCCTCCATCCGCTGAAAATGGTCAAGCAGTACATCGCCACGCCCGATTCCTCAACAGCTCCCCCGAAACTGAGGCTTATCCGCCTTGGCTCCATCCTCAGCAATGTATCTGAACACATGCCACTAAACAAAGGCCAGGTCATCGACGTCGCCCAACAATTACCGACTGACCGCAAGAGAGGATTCGAGGAGTCCCGCGACGATCTTCTTGGCCATCACATTAGCGTCCTTGGATCCGGCCACAATATTTGACAGCTTGCCCGGGATATTCTGTCCACCAGTGTTGGAAAGGGCCAACGGGACTCGCTTCATCCTCATCAAGTTTACGCGCCGTACTCTGCCACTCAAGCTCTGGACTCGGGGATCTCTGGACAATGTAGACATTACAATTGTACAGGTGAGTGGTCTTCTTCTTCTTAGTTAGCACCTATACACTCATGCAACCTGTTAACTAGTGTCCAATACAATAACAAGTGAGGAACATAGCCACGGTGGCATCGTAGAAGAAAGGTTTTCACCGCATTCGCGAAGGGGATCACAAGAGACCGGCTTCTCATTGCCGACGTTGCGACACCATAGTCTGCAAAGTGGACGTGACAGGTGCCGGCCCCCCTTGTGGTGTTGTAGATCAGGCTGCCGCGCCGTATGGTACTAAAGAGCGCCCCGACATGACTGTGGATTTTGCTATCGAGTCAGAGCAAGATGCCCATACAAAAAGGCTTTGATACTTCGTGCTGGGCGATGTCGGCGCGATCGCAGGAAGGTCTTTAAAGTCGCTTCCTAGCTTACAAGTGCGCGAGATTGTTGTTGTTTTTGTACACCAGTCCAGGTCCTACACACCCACACCCCATTGCCCGGTGGCCCTAGGCCGCATGCCAGATTCCAGGCCGGCGTCAGTCGGGTGAGCCTAGACATACACGGCATACTGCATGCCCTATTCGGACATCCCTTAAAGCTAAACCCTAGGAGTTAAGCTACCAGCTTTGACGCTTGGCCTATGAGAACCCACAGCAAGGTGAGGATTTCCGTCGTTCTCGTCCTCGCCGCCGCTGCCACCTCCCCCTTGCGTGGCTCTGATGCGAACTATCGGAACAGATTGCAGCCGGGAGTGAAACAAAATGGCCTGACACATGCTTGGGCTGCTGGTCAGTGCGCACCCAAGAAAATAGATGCAGTCAATCGTATGTGCCCGCGTGTTGGGTGGCTACAGTGGATGATGTTGATGGTTTTCGTTAGCACCTAGGCTAAGCAGTCACAGACAGGATATCCCGCTGTCTCACTAGCGGCACCGGCACTGGGATTCAATATGTGATATGACGGGTTGGCTGGCCCAGCATCTGTCACAAAAGTTCAATTTAACGACAGGGCCGATCTGATATGTGGCTGGCTACCTGCTTAGGGTAGGAAAACGCCTCGAGCCGCATAGACTTGTCCTTAATATTAAAAATTACATGTCATAGAGTCATCTAATGGGTGGGTGTAGGCATAGGAAAATGGCTTGTCTCTTCTAAACCATAGTGTAGAGAGAAATACAATTACGTATGTGATAAAGTGGGCTAATCTGAACAGTGGACATCCCGGTCTAACTAATCCAGCCACACTACATGCAGGTCTACAAGATGCAGGCAGAGAGATGTCATGCCTTGCGCGATGCGTACATATTCCCCAGGCACAGCTGAGTTACAGCGACATAACAGACGTCTGGGCACATGCGACCTTGGTTCACCCAAGACCAACATCCTAGACCAATTGTGCCTCGGTCACCTAAGTCTACAGGCTCTCAGAAAGAGGTAAAGTAAAGCTGAAAATTGCATCGTCTTTTGGGCTTTTCTACACGTGAACAAGCTACTCTTTTCTTGGGGGGGCTCCTAGAACTCTATATGACACTCCTTCCTTCCTTCGTAATGCTTCCTGGTACGCTCAACGGCTGCTTAGCCTATAGGTTGTGGTGGCTACTGAACCTTGGATATCCCTACGTAGGAGGAATTCCTTGGTTGATGACGGTGGTGCGGCTGGTGTCAGGTGACCTTAATGGTGCGGCGGCAGGGCTTTGTGGATGCATGCAAAACAGTGTTGGAGATTCCCTCCCGATGGCGGAGGACAGTGCCTCAATGAACCAGGCGACGCTGAGGTTGGCCTGCTCGCTAGCATGGTTGTGCTTGGTGGCGAGGATGGCTATTACCCTGCTGTGTAATGTGTTGTGCATGGCTCCCTCGGGTAAGCGTTGGGTGGCGTCTGACAGGAGTTCGATGATGCTTGGGCTGTCCTGGTTTGGGGAACGGGGGCGTCTGCTCGCTGTGAGCCTTTGGCGGGCACCAAGTGCGAACCTGATGACGCCGGTAAGGACGGGGTGATGATGGAAGATCTTCTGCCCTGGGAATTCTTGGCTAGAGTCCAACCATTCGCTAAAGAGTCTTAGGGCCTCACTTGTTGACGGACCGCTGGCGGATGGCAGTTGTCGTTTCAGGGAGAAGGTGGTTTGCCAGAGGCGTTTGGTGTCTGCATAGGCATGAGGGAGCACGCCTTGGGTGCCGTGGATATCGCAGAGAACGGCACACATGGCGACAGTCGCCGTTGGCACCGATTCCGTGTTTTTCGAGAGACGGAAGCTGTATAGGAGAGGGTTGAGGTACGTAGCAGCCAGGGGGCAGTCAGCGTTGGGAAACTGGTTCGCCTGCTGGACGAGACGGCTGACGAGACAGAAGTCATCCAAGAGTTGCTGAAAGTCGCGGGGGAGATGTTTGTTCAGGTCCTGGGCGCCCTCTGGGACTTTTGCGGCAGCTATCAACAGGAGGCTGAAGTCTCGCATCGTCCAAGTCGAAAGCTCGCATGTAGCTGGGAATCTGATTGTCTGTTCCATAGTGGCCTGGACGGCAGCAAATCCGACCATGTCAAGCAGATCTGTAGCCCCGACAAATGTCCCGGTGGCGAGGTAGGTGAGGAGTAGACCGAGATGGAGGCCGAAGTGATGGAGACATGTATCAGGAAATCGGCGGGTGACTTGATGTTTGATTGCCTCGCCCATGTCACTGATGATGCCGACGGCGACTTCGGTAGTAGCATCAGCCGTGATAAGATCAATTTCATGACGCCGGTACTTGTCCCATACGCACCGCAGCTGAGCCCTGGCTTCATGCATGTCCGAGATCAGGCAGAAGATGGCCAACGCAGGGTGGACGATGATGGGATACTCTGCTGTGACATCAACAGGGGCGGGGATGGGATTGTCGCCTAGACCTCTGGTGGTCTCATGGGATGTTGTGCTGGAGAGGCCTGGAATGACGGTAGAGGCCGCAGTTCTGGTCGGGAACATGCGCTGGATGAATAGGAGATCCTTGGTCTCGAGGACATCGGGGGGGGGCGCAGCCTGGCTGACAGCGGCTGGAACTCGGTAGTCCCCTCGCTGGTGCAGGACCCATTCGGAAAACCGGGTGGCTGTTGCGATAGACCTATCGAGGGCATGCCGGGTTGCGTCGGGCATCTGGACACCCTCTGTCCAGCGTCCGGCTGCAACGAGCTTCAGCCTTGTCACTGACCTCAGTGACCTGCGGGCGGCGTCTTGTTCATGATCGCTGTCGCCAAGCAGCCAGCAGACGACCTGGGCGGTGTCTTGAGTGTAGCGGTCCCAGGACCCGATTGCAGGTGCTGGGTCCATGGCCGGTGTCTGATGTCGCCCATAGGTGGAAGCGCGCAGCAGGGAAGCTGGCGGCAGAGGGCTGTAGGGGGGTACAAGGGCAGAGTGGCAGAAAGAAATCCCCAACGTTGGGTCTTGGGAAGGCGTTCTGGTTGGAAAGGTCAGACGACTCTAGGGACGCGCAACCACTGGTATTTGAATCTGATGCGGTGTCAGCAGTTCAACATGACAACGACCGGGCCTGCTGCCAACCTCCAAGGCCCCCGACCACCAGCCGGGGCAGGGCTTTGGTCTTTGCGTAGTGGCGGGATGTGCTGGCATCCGGCCTAATCAAGCCGCAAATAATCCAATGCGCGGTTTTGAGGTTTGATTGCACTCGAGCATCTCGTATTCGGTGGTAGTCCGCATGTCTGGTGGAGAAGCCTGCAAAGGCCCGGTGGACGGAAGCGGTAGCGGGCAATGTGAAGGGGGGGGGGCTGCCGGCAGCGGTTACGGCAAGTAGACAGACAAGACGGTTTATGACGGTGTGAGAGACGGCGATGCCTCCTGGAGACGGTGGCTGATGCGGTCATTGATGCAGACAAACAAAGACTGCATGGCGGGCAGTTCTGTGATAGATTTGACTGGTCATCCTTCCTTCGCATGTGGCTCCACAGTTGCGGCAACCGGCAGGACAGAGAGAGGTTTTTGGCGTCTAGGTTATATTATTCAATATAAACTTCGGGTCATTCGCGGATACTGTGTGGGGTTTGGAAGAAGGCGGGAAGCCGTTGGATGATGAAGTATGTGGGCATGGGTACAGGTAGAATGCCAGAGCGCTTTGGTCGGCGGCCAGTGGATTAAGCCTA